TGTCGATCTTTTCGAGATATGCAGATTGATCGAGGTTCGATCGGTCGTTACGACTCTGTAAATATATGGCATTATTTTTATTAAGGGCACCTCGGTTTCACTGTGAAAAAAAAAGGAATTTTACTAAATTGCACGTGTAGAGTGATAAGGGAGACAGGCAACGCTAACCTAAGCCGCTTATTCAATTTATATACAAACAATCTTAGTTTCATTGTTTTCACTTTTACTTATATCGATATTTTCGCGGATTATTATTTAAATCATTGAGCGAAGAATATTTTTACTTAACTTGCGTTAGCATTAGTGAAACAATTTGAATAGGAATTTGGAAAGGAAGAATTTGTAGAAACTATATTTCTTGGGAAGAAGGGTACTGCTGCCATCAGTGAGAAGTTCTCTGAATTAAAATCTTGATGTAGTGGGCGTCTACTTTATCGACGACTCAAATTCTGGTGGCGCCTTCACCGTCACTTCGGTGAACCTCTTGACTTCGCGTTACCAACCGAGAGTAAGTTCCGGAAAATGAAAATCCACGGAAAGGGCTTGCTCGATAAATTAGACTCCAGGATCGATAAAACAGTTTTCTCCGACAGACTTTGTGCTATTGCCTTGATAAATCAGTTCTCAGTTCTACCGCACGAGATGATTTGTGCGATCTCGCCGTCGATAAAAGAATTAATCTCCGTAAGAAAAAAAAAAAAAGGAAATCATAAAAACATTTACAAATTAATTAAATAAAATTAATTAATTAAATACAAACGACCGGGAAAAAAAGGTGCAGATTCGAGTTAGCTACACATATCCGAAGTCACTGAAATGGAAGGAATAAAAATGAACGAGATACCGAGGCGTGAAAATTTTTACCAATTGTTTGAAGTTTCGGTGAGTGGAATATTTTTCTCGGACAATGTCACGGGGCAAAAAACATTTCAGCTCTGGCCACTGGAGTAAATCTTTTGAAGTACAGTAGCAGCTTAAGGTACGTTTGCCCTGTAATCCTTTTGATGTGCTTATCAAAGCTGGACTTTGCCGAAGCTTACACTCATAAGCACAGGGAGGCAGAAGCAAGAATTTTCTCATGACTCCAGAGTTAATTTCGATAAATAACTAATACAAATCCTCGGAAATCTCGTACACCTTATAATTAACAACCCAGATAATATTTTGAAAAAGTTATAGTAGAACGTAGAGGACCTCTCCAAGAGGAATATATTTCTGGACATAATTCCGGACATGAAGGATGTTTCGAAAAGTCGAAACGAGGAGCCATCCCTGTATCAGTGGAATTTGAGAGAACAGACCGGCCAGTTGCGCGGAGGGTTTATTAAGCTTATTACAGGACTATATAGAGGGATGTACCGAGATAGGGGAAAGTAAAACACCCCTAAAGGGAATGGGCTTCGAAGATGAAGTTTCAAGAGGGGTAGAGAAAATCCTCCTCAACCCGGTCCACCGATATCGAAGAAAAAAAGCGTTTTACAGAATTTCAAGAGTACACCGCATATACGTCTACATATTACCCATCTGTATGGAAAATATTTAAAATCGATTGAAAGTCTAACGAAAGGGGATGTTACTCGATTTTAAATCTCGTCAAGGGCGAAAGTGCCTCAATTGACACATCAAGTACATGGTGTACATGGTGAACCGGACTTAATTCTACATAGGGGTGAAATAGGCCCGTGGTTTGCGGTGTAAGCGATCCCTAAATCGGATTACCAAATCGCGCTCACAAAACACAATGGTATTTGCAAGTCGATGACAGGGTGGAATTCACTTTTACCCTTTTCTAAAGCCGAGCCCGTTCAACCTGTGCAAAGAAAATGGCTTCTCGGCAAATTGTGCGGCATCTCCAATCTCCAAAATGCAATTTGACTTCTCTACTTAAAACGAATGCACGATGGAATCGCCTTAAACAGCACGCAAGGGTGGACGGCGGTTTGCGGGGTTAACGACCCTTAAATACAACCCTACAAATCATGCGAGCGAAACGGAAAGTTGTATAAGCTCCACACGAGTCGAGCCCACGGTTGGCCATGGCCGATCTAAGCAAAAGTGAAAACGGAGGGTGGACCGGAAAAGGTCCACCACCTGAGGGTCCAGAAATCCAGGCTAATCCCGGAGGAAGAGCCGTCCAATAGGGCCCCCTAGTCCTGATTTAGGAAGGGATTTTAATTACGGGGGGACATCGTCACGAGGCTGGACCTGCTCCCTAATTTATAGCTCATTAGCCCAGGATTTCCTCGGACGGCAGATTAACCTCGTCTAGAGGGACATCCCGTCCGGAGAAGGCCTCCTTCGGGGAAGGCCTTTCTTCCTAAAAGTTAAATAAATAAATTATCGGTTATCTTTGCAGTAAACCCTGTCTCTTCACCCGGAATGTGTGCTGGCCGCACATTTTCCTCTTTTCCAGTTATCAGGCAAGCCACTTATCTGAATGGACCCGTGGATGCTAACGAGCTCGTTACCGGAGTCGTTTCCGCTTAGAAGATCCATCAGTCATCGAGATTTTCAGCTGGCAGACTTATCGATGAGAGATTAGGCTGTCCAGTGGGTTTTGCATCCTACTCGATACCCTCCTTTCTCGTTTTTTAAGTCGCTGAAACGATGCTTTGCGTTCCCGTGGTATCTACTGCAACCTGATCCCTAATTGCTTCCCACATAAAGCAAATGTCAATGGAAGATTAGGCCCATTCGTGTTTTACACCCCAACTACTGTATGGTCAGGTCCGGGGAGCCACGTGGGACCAAAGGGTTAATTACATTCGCGTGGCTCCGCAGGAACGAGCAAAACCGCACCTGCTTCCACGATCGCACCTTGGCAAACCACAGTGCAATAAACGGTAGCTACTCCTGCCCCGGGATTTGGGACCGCCTGAAGACCCAGACAAGAATCAGGAAGAGATATTTCGGCTCCCGATACCTGAAAACATGAGTCATAAGTTAGAATTCAAACCTATTCAACGATACGCCCATGTGATGTTGAAAATTATTCCACAACCATTGTCATATCTAGGGCCTGGCAAAAACGACACGTGCCACGGGCGCGAGCGGAAGAAGGGCGTCATGCAAAATGAATTCGTGGAAAAAAAAATTGTACAAAGGAAACGACACTACATCGAGAGCGCAATCGGGCGAGTTCCCGAACGGTACAAAGTGCGTGGGATAAATGCGTTTTTACGTTTGTTCTTTTACGTAAACCTTCTTATGCCGCGGTGGTACACGTAATGTCACGTGCTAGGAAGGAGGCCCACTTCGCAAAGTAAAACGCTGTTTTCTTACAGTTCATTGCTACCGACATTCATATTTGTGTTTTACAATTGGTATTAACACAATTTGCGTTAGTTGGCATTAAAGTCTTCGCTCGATATTGGTATCGTTATCGCTTCGCTGTTTCTTTTAATATAGAAGAGGATATCTAGTCCTTTGCCACAGACGTTAAGTGCAGCCATGTCCTCACGTGCCAAACGTGGGTGAATATGTGAATATGTGAATTTGCGAATATGTGAATATGTGAATATGTGAATATGTGAATATGTGAATATGTGAATATGTGAATATATGGATATGAGAATATGTGAATATATGAATATGCGAATATGCGAATATGTGAATATGTGAATATGTGAATATGTGAATATGTGAATATGTGAATATGTGAATATGTGAATGTGTGAATATGCGAATATGTGAATATGTGAATATGTGAATATGTGAATATGTGAATATGTGAATATATGAATATGCGAATATGCGAATATACGAATATGCTAATGTAGCCCTGAAATGACGCAGGATGACTCGGCAGCTCGAAAATATCCAATTTTTGTAAGATCGACTCGAGTCCTATGGGTGCAAAGTGCGTCGCTCGGCGCGGCCCGCGAAGGAGCCAAGTCGTGGGGGTTGGACTCCCGCAGGTTGCCCCACCCCTGGCGGGACGCCCCGCCTCCAGGAGCCGAGTGACGTCACGCGGACACTTGTTACGCCTTGGCTAAGCGAGGCGCCTCCGCGCGGTGCGGCTCGGCAGCTCAGGAGGGGAAGGTCCGGTTCGCGTGCGTTGCGGAACGCCGCCGCGGCTCGGTCTCTCGCCACTCCCGCCGCGCGACAGGGCCCGGCGTAACCTAACCTAACCTAACCTTGCAAAGGCGTTTCGGCGCTACCGAGCCTACCAGGAACTCGCGGTCTCTCTCTTTCCACTCGGCTCTGACGTACGCGCGATTAATCCCCCTCCTTTTCTCGCACTTGCTCTTCTGTTACAGGGAAGCTCGCGCGCGATATCGCCCGGCCGAAACACTGGACCACCGTGGGAAACCGGTGATAATGGACGGGAAGATCGCCGCCAATGTGCACAATGCCCTGACCGTTATTAGATTGCAGGTACGATTAGATCCAAGTTGCAGTCCTAACCTCAATTCCTACTTAGATTAAAGAGGATTAACCACCTGCAGCGCAAACCAAATCCAGGAACTTCCTTCAAACGACGCACCGAAGGTAAGGATCTCTTATCAAGGCACTCTATCCCATTTCAGATACCAAAGTTCATTCCATGAAAATCTCCTGACCAGAAGTTCAGTTCCAGAAATCCTCCATGTTTCCTATTACGAACGGTAATTTGTCCTGTACGTTTCCAAGACTCACCTGTACCTCGGATTAAACGTTTTCGTAATTTGTTGACGTGTATCTTAATCCCATCCAACGCTGTCGTTTCGCCGTTTACGCAAGAAAGAGTCATCGTAATTTCCTTCGTAACGCGGAATGAACGTTTCGAAGGATTTCGCGTTAGTTAGATAAACCAGTTAGAGAAGAAGTGCAGGGAATGTAGAGTCCGACTCGGGTGGTCGAGGTTTCGAGGTTCCAAAATGTCGAAATTCGTAACGTCTCCCTCCAAAGGGTGCGCGGAGTGGGGGCCCGCGGGATCCCTTGGCGGGAGCGCGAGAGGGGTCGCGCGGAGGGGGCGGGCGGGCGGAAGGGGGGCGCGGAGTTTCGGGCCGTCCCGGACCGCTTCCGCGCGCGACACGCGGCCTGCCAGCGGCGATCGCGCGGCACTACGTCGTGCGCCGCCGCCAGCGACTGACGTCCGCAGCGGCGACGTTAGTGGGACGTGCATGCGTGCGCTCGCTCTCTCGCCACGCTTGCCCGGACTGCCACCGAAAATAAACGAGACTACCGTAAGACGTACCGCGTCGAGGCGAAGCCACGAAAAGTGGAGTTTTTTAACCCGATACCCGCACTATGGGGAGAGTTACCGACAAGGGTGGGAGACCTTACCGACCGAGCGGCTCGGAAAAGGGCGCGAGTGGACGGGGACAGTGAGACAGCGGTGACCTTGGACCCCGAAATGTTCCTAGACTAGGGATTTCCGGCGGTTCGGACGGCAGTCGAGGACGCTGTGAAGGTTAGGTGCGCTTTTCGAGGCCGCGCGTGGATAGTTCCTGCAATGTATAGTACGTATATGTATAATGCGTACGGGTAAATCGTATGTACATTGTTTAATGGACACTAATGTGGACCACGTGAACATTGGACCTTGTGACATGTGATCGTGGGTATGTGCACGGGGCTGAGGATTGACTGAAGAAGTGTTCTCTGAGTTCTTGTCGAAAGAAATTTTTCCTTTGGAGAAAGTTTTCTTATCCAAGATAAGTGGCGAAGTTTTGAGTGGGCAGGAGAAGAACTGGAGATTAACCTTCCTGATTGGTTACGTGGTCTTAGAGGGTGTACCGACTGAGCTGGTGGCGGGAAACAGCTACCGAACATTCGGTAGGTTATATAAATGGTTTCGTACGCAAAAAATTAATTATTTGAACGCGAAACGCAGGCGTCTGAGGCGAGGAAACTATGATATGGTTGCTGCTGGGAGATACGATCTTTAGAAGTGCTTTTAGGTATCGATGACACTTTGTATACTGAAAAACGCTATCCTGAGTGTATCGAAGAGGAGGGAAGTTTCGGTACATCGTGGTTTTAACGCCTTTGTTTCATTGGTCTTTAATCTTGTAATCCGACCCTATCATCGAAACGCCTCTTTGATCGAGGACCACCCCCGATTAAAAGACACGACTTCATCGACTGCAAGAGGTAAACTTCAAATCGAAGCGATTACTGTTCGATGGTCCCACTAGTCCCATCCCTAATGGATACCTTAATGATCTAATCTGGTCCAAAAGAGACATGGACGGAACGTTCCTTTTGATAAGGAGCCACTCCTGATTCTTAGACACGTCATCAACTAAAGAAGTTAGAATTCAGGTAACTCGAAGCGATTACTATCATATGGTTTTGTCGGTTCCACCCCTAATGGGAACCTCGATGATCTAACCTGGTCAAGAAGAGACGTCGGCGGAAAGGCCCCTTCGATAAGGGGCCATTCCTGATATGAAGATACGTTTTCGTCAACCAAAACTTGGACTACAAGCAACTCGAAGCTATTACAGTTCAAGGGTCTCACCAGTACCATTCCAAATGGGATCCTCAACGATCTAACCTGATCAAGAACAGACCTCGATGGAAAAACCCCTTCGATAAGGGACCACTCCTGATCCGAAGACGCGTCTTCGTCAACTACAGAAGTTAGAATTCAGGCAACTCAAAGCGATTTTTGTCTGACGGTCCCATTGGTTCCTTCCCGAATAAGATTCTCAATGATCTGATTTGACCGAGAAAAGACCTCGACGGAAAGGCCCGTTCGCTGAGGGACCACCTCCTTAACGTAAGACACGACGTCTCCGGAGAAGAGGACGGCCCTGGGCGACTCGGGGCGGCTACTGGCCGATGGGATGCATCTCCCAGTGGGATCGGTGGGCTGTGGGGAGAACATCGCCAGCGGAACCCAAGAAGGCGCCGGTCCCATAGGGTCCTCCCTGGCGCCCCTTCAGGGTGTCAACTCGCCCTACCAAGGCTCAGGGGTCGGGGTGGGGCTCGGGGGTGAGGCCGGGGGTGAGATGAGTGAAGCCGCGGCCGTGGGTGAACTCTGGTGGACCGAAAGACTGGTTGGCGAGGCCCAGGCGGAACACCCTGGCGAACTGGTCAAGACAGGTCAGTTCCGGGCCCACTTCCTTACCCCTGTATCTGCCCTACAAGGGAACTGTTACACCAAATAGAAAGAAAAAAGAAAACGGATCACCGACCTTCTGAACACCTCCATCTCTAAGGCCCGGTTCTACAACTTGAATTAACCAAAGTTCAATTTATCGACTAGTTTATCCGCGGTTTAAACCCGCTGTAAACCAATTAAACTCCGGTTAACTCGTGTTGTGGAACCGGGCCTGACTCATAGATCTTTAATCAGCGCGCTACTTAGCGTTTAGCTTATACTTTGGAATATTGTTTTATTACTTGGATGTGGACATTTTTTCAATTGCGATCAAGACCTTTCTCGTTCAGTCGACTTTTAAACGGCGGAATTGTCCAGATTATGGTGTTCGGAGGTAGGAATCTGCGTTCGGCCGAAATGGTAACATCGTCAGCGTGGACCGGTGCAGCTGACCGGCTCTTTTTCTTTCCATCTTTCTTAGAGTGTACGCGGTCTGTGGTAACTCATTGACCGTGGTCATTCGGGGGGACAGGGAATGATTGGAGGAGTAGAATGAAAAGTGGTTTCCGTGTAGACCGACCGAGGGCTTAATTTCTTTCCAGGATCCCCTTACTTCCTCTGTAGCCAGCTACCGACCCATTGGAGGTCTAATAAGACCCTTCCAGTGGCTTTTAAGGTGGTAGCCCTGGGCGAGGTCGGGGACAACACCCTCGTCACCGTCCGGGCCGGTAACGACGAGAACTGCTGTGCCGAACTCCGAAACTCGACGGCTCTCATGAAAAACCAAGTGGCCAAGTTTAATGATTTGAGGTTCGTCGGCAGAAGCGGAAGGGGTGAGTAAATTAAGGCCGACCAAGTTTCTTCCTCCCTTTCGTCGTGGTCTTAGAAAATAGCCTCGCTCCTTTGGCGAAGAAGGGACATTTTCACTTGCATTAAGGCGATGTGAAAGTGGAGTCGAAGAGGTTTTGTTTATGAGACTTTTCTCCAAACTCGATTTACCGAATAGTCTGAAAGTATACAACGTGAATAGGGAGACTATAAGGAAGGTCCTGAAACTCATGAAATGTCAATTCTATTCATGTTTGTTTATAGGTATTATAAAAATAGTTTATAAAAAATGCAATTTCGCTAGTTTCAGGACCTACCTTAGGGTATTCATATTCACATTTTAAAGTATGAAACGACTTGAGACATCCAGTTCGTAGGAAAGTTTTATGAACAAATGAGCTTTCGAATGTCACTTTCATATCCTCTTAAGTAGTACTATCGGCACGAGAAAATAAAAAATGAAATTTCGCGAGTTTCAGGACCTACCTTAGGCTCTCCATTCACATTTTAAAGTATGAAACGACTTGAGACATCCAGTTCGTAGAAAAGTTTTATGAACGGATGAGCTTTCGAATGCCACTTTCACATCCCCTTAAATAGTACTATCGGCACGAGAAAATAAAAAATTAAATTTCGCCAGTTTCAGGACCTATCTTAGGCTATTCATTCACGTTTTAAAGTATGAAACGACTTGAGACATCCAGTTCGTAGAAAAGTTTTATGAACAAATGAGCTTTCGAATGTCACTTTCACATCCCCTTAAGTAGTACTATCGGCACGAGAAAATAAAAAATGAAATTTCGCGAGTTTCAAGACCTACCTTAGGTTCTCCATTCACGTTTTAAAGTACGAAACGACTTGAGACATCCAGTTCGTAGAAAAGTTTTATGAACAAATGAGCTTTCGGATACCACTTTCACATCCCCTTAAGTAGTACTATCGGCACGAGATCGACTTTGTGTCTTGTTTCGCTCTCCTTGCCGGATACGCCTTAAGGCGTCTGACAAAGACCCGCTTTATCCACTTCGAGGTAAAATCCAGTTTTTTTTCGGCCCTCGCAAAACATGAACACCATTGCATAACTTCCGGGGACCATTTGGGTTGACTTAGTGGTAATATTTTAATCCCTAGGAATTTCTTGTCTCCTTCGTACCGAGCAGGGGAATCGGTAGACAATAAAAAAAATTACCTCGAACGTCTTCCTCCTTCCTTCAGAAGTAGAGAGAAGGAAATCTCGCGTGGCATTCTCCCAGCGATACGGTTTAATTCCTTTCTTGCAATGACGAGTTCCACTCGCGTTGGGTATTTCATAAGTTCGCCAGAAAACATTGCAGGCGAAACAATCGGGCTGACCGAATCCTACTTATTTCGCTTCGACTTGGCTTAGGTCGGAATTTATATCTTCACTTCGGAGCGCTTGACGTTGATAAAGAAAGAGCATTAATTAAAAAGAACTAATTGAAATCTAAAATTGAGAAAATATCAGTCTCAGAAATTTCGCACTTGAAATCCCTATTTCAGAACTTCCACGTCTGATATCTCAGCTTCAGAAATGTCGCAGATGCAATTTCAACGTGAAAAATCTCATATTTGGAAATGTCGATTTCACAAACTTCGCTCTAAGAAGTTCCAAGTTCAGAAGTTTCACCTTTGAAGCTTCAGTTTCAAGAATGTCACCCTTGAAACTTGAATTTCGGATATTTTGTACCTCCGCTAATTGAAATTTCACGTTTTCAACATTGACGATCATTGGCACACCTTGCTAAATTGACATTCCGCGGACAAAAGGAAGGCACAAAGTGCAGGATTTGTCCAAGTGGGCTGGCATTCGGAGTGCCTCTAAAATCACGATTATTGTAATCATCATCAGCCATCCCCATCCCCCTTTCATCCCGCTCTGCTCTCGGCACAGCATCCGCCGCCCCGCCGCCCCGGAGTCATTACTCGACGTCCGCCGCCAACCCCCGCACCCCCAACGCGAAACAACTAGTCGTTAATCAGAAATCATTGTGCCGCCGGGCTCGAAACTTTCCCCAAAATCGAAATCCCCCGGAGACACCTCTGGGCGAGCCTTAAATCCGGAGAGCGTGAAAAATGCCCCCACCATAATGTCCTATTATATTGACTACTAATTTTCAGTATTATTAATATAACCGCGGAGGCTGTGATAATTAACGCTTACGGTACCGCCCATCCTCGAAATCATCCCCGGACGATTTTAGCGCTCGCCCGTTAATTCCGCAACGGCGGAACACTGATGCGCGCATTATCACCCCCTTAAAGGGCGCAACGCCCGGGCTTCCGTATTCACCCCAATTCCTCTATTAATGGGCGATCCGAGCCGGTCCGAACGAATTCGGAGCAGGTTGGTCGTGCGTCTCGTTACGCATTAATGGCCAGTGCGCCCGGACGAGCAGGAGTCATCTATCTTTCAACTGGCCTCGTCATTTCACAGCCCAATGGGACCCCCACCTGGGGGTGCGGGCAACCTGGACCGATCGGAGCCCAATGGCGCCCAATGGCGTCAAAGGTCGGAAAATGGTGTCCCCATTGGGAACTATCTTCCGGATGATCCTCCAATTTGGGAGATTGATCAAACCGCCCCGGGTGCCCGGAACCCACGGCACCGAGGAGGGGCACGACCACGTTCCACCCCGGCTGATCCGCGGCGTTTGTTTGGATCTGTTAATTTGATTGACTCGAATGGTCGCGGTTTGGCCGGAGAAAATCTGCCGAGGGAGATCGACTTTTCGGGGGCAGGGTCCTCCATTCTACAGGATTCGACTCAAGGAAGATGGAGCGTCGGGTTCCTCAGGACCGGGTCGCAGTCGATTTACGATGCTCCGATGACGGGGTGTCTTTGTAAAGTCTGAACCGAGCACGTCCAAACCTGGAGTTTTGTTCCCCTGCAGGGTGGAATCTCCAGGTCCCCCGATTGCGGGAGACCGACCAGCAGCTTACGCGACTGCAGAAGATGGACCCCATCGGCAGCGTTCAGCGTTGACCGACGACCCCCACTTCGCTGAACATCTCCCAGCCGGCTCCCCCACCGCCCATCGGTCCATCTTCGACTCTAATAATCAATCCACCGCAGTAATATCTACACGGACGGGATTACCGGGCGGCAGTAATTATTTGACAATTGCAGAGACATCCTGTTGTGCGCCTCGGACGGGCGTCCCTTCATCCCCGACGGCGCGTCCGGCGCTCTTCCTCATCCTCTCGGAGCCTCCGCTCGCCGCGAGTATTAACGGATGGTTTCGAGTGGTTTTGGGTGGTTTCGGGTGGGGATTGCCGGGCCGAGGGTGGCTCGTCTCATCTCGGTGGTGGACCCCCGATGCACGCATGGGTGCACGGCTCGGACCGCCGTTGTGTTGGGTATCCACCACCCTGGCCATCCATCGTGCGGAAGCGCGGCCCCGTTATAGGTGGCACATACGCGTGGCCCGGTTTTGTCTGTCCACCCGCGAATGCATAGGCCGGGCTCGGGCCTGTCTCTGCAGATGACCGTTCCCATCATCGAGTATTAACCGCAGCTCCGGGCACGGGGCGGCTGTGCGGCATTATTAGCCCCAAATGCGATGGACTCGACCAGGGTCCCACCCTCGCACCGGGCCGCGACTTGACCGGCGCTTCCGGATTTTCCGCGATTTTATCCGATTTCCCTCGACACCGAATGCCGCTCTCGGACCGCGCGTTCAAATACCCCCGAACGACGTTGCGGAATCGGCCACGGGGCTGTTGCTCTCCTCTCGATCACCGACAAGATGATTTCTTGATGACGGAGCCCATCATGATTTCGTATTTTTCGTAATTTTATCCGAGTTTGCCCAACGCCGAACGCCGATCTTCCAACTACCCATTCGAATATCCTTGAACGATGTTGAAGAAGGGTTGAAGAAAAATTTCTCTTTCTTCTCTGTCACTGGTACGGCGATTCTCTCCTGTGCAGCATGAGTTGATTTCTGATTCCTGGCGATTGCATCTCTCCCCCATCGTATCGCCTGCTAGAGTACCACTTCATATGACGGAATAACCCTTTCCAAAGATACCGGAATACCGAGGGACCCTTCAACAAGGGCCTATTCCGCTTCAATTTACCACTGGGAATCGCGGAATGATAGCGCGCTCTCCTCTCGGCATTTAGTGATCATTTGGGGTAGCCGGGACATTAGGCATCCCCCTCGCTCGTGGGAATCGGGGTCCTGGTTTCCCGAGCCGGTTGCCAGGACATAAAAAGTCCGACACCCTCCCAATCTCCGGGATATCAGACGGCACTTTGGGCGTCCTCTTTCCCCAAATGAAAACCCACGAATTCGCGGCGACCGGTCCGAGGATTTTGGTGGTCATGGGTCTTCCCGTCGAGACTCGGGATCCAGCGATTGATGCGGTGCCGTCCAACCGATGATCCGGGAGCGAAAGAGTCCGTAGCGGCGAAGGGTGGATTCCATTTTGGGATTTGGCGATGACGGTAACAAGGATGCACCGGCACGGGGTTGGCGGGACCACAGGACCAGGGTTCCAGGATATAGGGTATAACGCCGTGCCGCTCTGCAGTCAGTTGCAGCTCCCGGGGGTGGCGGAGCTGGGGGTGTTTGATGCCGGTTATCATGTTGACAGACACAGCAGGGTCCTGGATGGGCCAACGGGAGGCAATTACAAATCGTTGACGTTTACGCCGTCGCTTCGAGTGGACGCGCCAAGCGTCGCGCCGAACAAATTCCGAGATCGATCGTCCATCGATGGTCCTTCGGCTCTTCCTTCTTCGGGGCGATTTTTCTCCGGACTTCTTCCCCCAGGATACATGCGCCATTATTTTTAACCGTCTCTCCAAAGTCCTCGTCTCGTTCCGTAGATGGTGACAGGCCTGGGGCGCCGAATTCTGACTCACTGGACTCGACCGATCGGACCAACTCCAGATATTATCCTGGAGAATGCTCCGCCTGGTCCGATCCTCCGGAGAAAGGCCCTTCTTCCAAGAGGAGCTACGAATTACCGAATGCATATTAGCGAACGACGCGACGGTCCGTTTAAGAGCTTGTAGTCAATCTCTCCGTCGGACGTTTATGGAGAGGGAATTAATATACCGGACCTTCAACCTCGAGACCTTCGCCGGTGATATACGCACGCGAGAGCGCTCCACCTTCTTCCTTGCAGCCCGCTGGATGAGGTCTGCGAGAAACGACTTATAAGTCGGCCTATCGACCATCCTCCTAGGGAATCCCCGAACGGGCTTGCCACCAAGTCCGAACTTCCAGGCTACCGCGCTCTTCGTAGAAAAGCCTAGGGCAGGAGAACGTTGCAATATTCCAAGGAACTTGAACATTCGAAATCGTGGTGCCCCTTCCCGTCGAAGTTCTTCGTTCTTTAGTCCTGATTCGGGCACTTACCCACAACTCGTTGCGTACCCTGGTGCCTATCTAGAGAAGTCCGCAACATGGGGCAAGTAGATGTTGTAGTCTACAGCGAACTGCACCATATCGCTCCATGGTGCTCCATTATTTATCGCGTTTCCCCACGACTCGTTACATTCTCTGATGCCATTCTGCAAAAGTCCGCAACCTGGGGGCAGGAATCTGTTACAACGTCCCAACGAACTGAGCCATTTCGTGGTTCCACTCCCCTTCCAAGTTCCACGTTTCTTGATCTTCAACCAGTTTCGCCTCGCTGCGACTCTTGGTGCCATTCTTCGCCCTTCTTTGTCTTCTACCACCCGATATCTGTACGTCCTCTGTTCCAGGGAAAAGCTTCAGCATCACCATCACCGTCTCGACCAGTCCACCTCAGGTCGCCACCTACACCAGGGCTATCAAAGTCACCGTCGATGGACCCAGGGAGCCGCGATCCAAGACCAGTGAGTATCCACACTTGTTATATTCCCAGCTAGACTTGAAAATTCAACGAAATCCTTCGCTCTCATCGATTGTACGTGTCGGAAGTGACGGTACCTTCCCTTTTTGGGGTCCTTTATGAGCTTTGGGCGCCATGGCCATGGTGCCCAAACCGCGCTGGACTTTGTTCCGCCGGCGATGGCCCGGATCAGCAGGAAAAACGGCGATAATTCAGGCGAAGTTGGAAAGTGCGCATCTATGTACACGGTCCGCGTAATGGCCAAGTCATTACCGAGCAGATGGTGCGCGATGATGCAGGGTCCGAGGTGCATGGGCGCGGATTTGCCGCGCGGGCGTTCCGGCCTCGCGACAACTTGCGTCCGCGCGCTCTCGTCCGCCTGGTTCCGAAAAATAAAACCGTTATTCCGATATGTATCTGATTAATAGCCGTTGCGGACTCGACCGCGAGTACAGCGGGTTTGCGGGCATTTCGCATTTGCCAGCATAAAGTATTGATGGTGCACCCGGCCGTGCCGGGAGCCCAGCTCGACCAGGTAGCTTCGGAATCGGATCAAGCCCGCCACTGGCGTTAGGGATCTTCTTTTCCAAAATCACCGGAATAGTCGCCCCATGTCCTCTCCACTCCACGTTAAAAGCGCCCTCGTTACTAACTTGAAAAATCGGAGCTGACGTTAGGGATCTTCTTTTCCCAAATCACCGGAATAGTCGTTATAAATCCTTTACATTCCACAATAAAAATGCCCTCATTGCTAACTTACAAGACAGGCGATGGCGTTAGGAATCTTATTTTTCAAAATCACCGGAATAGTCGTTCTAAATCCTTTATACTCCATGTTAAAAATGCTCTCATTGCTAACTTAAAAAACAGGCGATGGCGTTAGGGATCTTTTTTTCCAAAATCACCGGAATAGTCGTTCTAAATCCTTTACACTCCACGTTAAAAATGCTCTCATTCCTAACTTAAAAGACAAGTGATGGCGTTAGGAATCTTCTTTTCCAAAATCACCGGAATAGTCGTCCAAAATCCTTTACACTCCACGTTAAAAATGCCCTCATTGCTAACTTAAAAGACCGGCTATTCCCTGAGAAAACCCATCACAGAGAAGTTCAGCTCTAATGGATTAGCTAACTCCGGAACTCTGCTAATTCACCATGAAAAGTGCCGTACATCACGTTCCTTGATCGTTTCTTCCCGACAAAGAAGTTAAGGCTTTAATAGGTTAGGTAACTCCGTGACTGTGCCAATGCACTGTGAAAACTATTACACTATACGTTCCTCGATAATTTTAGATCAGAAATCTCTGCGGGTCAACGAGTATTCATACTTCAGCTGTATACGGACAAACATTGCACTAACAAGGAAGGTATCCCAGGTCGATCTCTCCGATTTGATTTCTTTTATAATATGTCATAGTAGACTAAAAACTAAGCGACACGTATTTTTTTTTATCTGCCATTAAACAGTTTAAGGGGGTGAAATCACCATCCAAAGTAAGGCATGTCAAGTGGCGATTTGGCAGTTTCACCCACAAGAACATAATATTTTTTAACCAATCCACCTGGAAAATCTTTCTTATAACGAGAAATGAAAAATATAATTTTCTCAATTAAAAGAAAAAAAAATAAGGGGTGAGCCACCCCTCACAGGCCTTACTTTGGATGGTGGTTTCACCCCCTTAAAGTATTTAATGGCAGATAAAAAAAATACGTGTCGCTTAGTTTTTAGTCTACTATAACATATTATAATAAGAAATCAAATGGAAGAGATCGACCTGGGATACCTTGCTTGTAAGATCCACGTAAAACATTCATGAAGGAAGCAGAACTCTTAGGTTAGGTGACGGCGATGGTGTCTGTAACACTTCTCAGCGCCCATTTTGACCTGCAGCATCCTTTACAAATACATTAGCCAATTTTCAATTCCATCACAGTAGTGACGGTTCTTTGTTTCTGTTTATCATCAATATTCTTGTCGTTTCGAGGCGGTCACCCATCCAAGTGCGAACTGTGCGCTACCTTGCTTAACTTCGCTCATCCAAGGGATAAACGGTACTTAAACGCCGATTAAGCATTGGTTAACTCTTAGGTTAGGTCGTGCTCGAGCGGTCGAATTCGACGGCGCTACTTAACGCACAAGGATCGCGATTTCTAGGTTATGCGAGGCCGTAAGCCGGGTAGTCGCGTTTTGATTACGTGGCCGGGTCTGCCGGACGGCCAAACGGGCACGAACGACATATTGCATACAGAGAGGGTGGCGGTAGCGTGCCGGCTCGCACGCCTCCGAACAATGTATGCCGTGTACATCGGCCCGTTCTACAACCGGCGCTTTATTGTCTCCCGACAATGCGAGGCGCAACCCCGCAAGCACCTGCCACCCCTCATTACCGGGATAATCGACCGAGCGAGCTTTTTGTTATCGAAATAGTTCCTCGACCCCGCGCGCCGGTAATCGGCCAATTTCTCCAATTTCTCTAATTCGCCGGTTCCCCGCCAGTGGGCGCACGAACGAGCTCGGCCATTCCCAGGTGTCCCCCGACACCTGGGTGATGCCCCGATTTCAACTCCGCCGATGCCCGTTTTAAACCTGGATGATGCTCCGCAAACTGCCAGGATGATGTCACGTAAAAGATATTAAAATTCGACATTTAATGGATGGAATTGCGTCTTGCTTCCTATTACACTTGGATGGTGTCCCGATTCCAGCCCTGCCAATGCCAGGTTCGAATCCGGATGATGCTCGGCAAACTGACAGGGTGTTGGCAAATAAATCACAGAAATTCTAAATTTAACGAATGGAGTTACGAATTATTTGTCGTCGCATAGGAAAACTGGCCAGGACCTTTATCTTCAGGGAGCATAGAGGAGGGTGGCCGTTTCAGGGGATTTTTCTTTCGGGTTTAAGGATTCGTCCCGTAAGGTCCTGCAAGTCCCGATCGACCGGCCCCGAAGAAGGATACGTAAGACGTGGAGGGACTGGGAGGAAAGCCGCGCTATTTCCGTCCCCGGACCGCCACGCTATATGATTAGATAAACCCGTCGTTCGCTCGTCTATGTAGCCGGTCACACGAGTTCCGTGACTCTGCACGGTGTCGCAATTAAACGCTCCTTGGCCAGTAATCGGCGAAAACGTGTCCATAGGTTCCACTCCAACGTAAAGGTCTAACCTCGAGCTTCCCAATTTTGGTACCCCCGATCACGAGGAACTGCAGTATCCCTCGGGATCATCTGGTTCCACCAGGGCATACGAGTCTTGGATCTCATCCTCGGCCTGTCGAAAAATGGCTAGAAGGTTAGGCCGCAACTGGCAGTCCAAAAAATTGCCTCTCATCTTCCGCAGGAAGGCCCAAGATCCTCGCATCCTGCCGACTCCATGACAAAGGTCAGCAGCGGCGGCTTGTAGCTCCCAGATTTGCCAGATGACCAGGTCCGAGATTGCCGAAAAATAATTCACCACTTCCGGGAGCGCCGGCCTGGTCCGGGCCCAAGGCCCAACACCCACCCACTCCCAGAGACGAGAAAGGGTCTTACTTTTATTCATCCATAACCGGCTCAATTCCCAGAATTTCAAAAAGTGTCCTCAAATCGCCATCATCGTCGTCATCGTTGCGGATCCACGAGTCCCGGTCATGCCCCATCAGATGGGCCCCATCATCTCCCATGGTCCGGCAGGTTCCTATTCCTTTCCACCCACGCCTCCTGCACCGTGTCAAGGGTCATCCCGAGGAAGCATCTTGTATCGGCCCGATGACCCGACCCCAAATTACCGTAAAATAATCCCCGACTTCCAGGTTCTGGCCCACCTAACCCCACAAGTCTCGGAATAAAAAGCCCACGTCCAAAAAGACTCCGCTGTGTACGTTTGGGCATTACAACGGCCGCGTCCGGTTTCTCGGCGTTCTTCGCGCAAGTCGTGGGACCGTCGATTCATGGATCGGCAGATCCATCGATCCCTCGATCGGCCGACCCTCGACGTGGTAGCGACCATCGAAGGGAGCTGGGAGATCGATCTCGTAAGGCTCGGATCCTGAACCCTCGGTGCACCTGAACGTCTGGCCGGACAATTTTCGAGCGGTTTGCGGTCGAATCTTTATTTGTCGTACGAGCTGTCTCGAGCACAATTTTCGCCTCCGTGCTCCTCTCGGAGGCTGCGACGTGACCAGCCGCCATTGAGAACCCGAGAAACTCATCTCTCAGGGCTTTCCTCTGAATGGACCCCGAGCGCGTCCCGTTGGTTGTCGTTCTCTTCTTCTCCCCTCTTCTGACTTCTGAGTGCAGAGCGCGATTTAGCGCTTCCACTGCGATTCTTAAAACTTCTCTGGGTTTCAAAAGTTGGGTTTTGGGTGTTCCTCGAATTATCCCGTGACGAGGGTGTAGGGTTAGGGCTACCCCCGCTGCAAGCACACCCTAAACCCAGCATCGGGATTCGAATTGACCACCGAGAGAGGAACGCGTGGTATGCTATTGAAGTCTCCTGCAGCACGATGTGGTCGAGTTTCTTAATCATCCCACTCAGTCGGGCTAATTGCGCAAACATTTCCTCCTTCCTGAACGCTCCGGTATTTCGGAACCGGATCTTGAATCTCCAGGTTGCGGCATTTCTTCCTTGGGCCCGTTCCTTTGGTCCTGGGCTGTCTCTTCCGTCCTTTCGTTCCGCTTATTCGCTGGCTGCCTTACGGAATATGTGTTCTGCGTCTTTCAAACATCCAATTCCGTCACGCGAAGGGACTTCCGAAGAACCGGGTTTTGTTCCAGGACAACAGCACCAACAGTTCCGGGCTCTGGGCCTGGGACAACAACCCTTCCTGGACGCACCCACTTCCTTCACCTCCCACCTCCGGGAGCTGGAGTCCTACCGGAGGAACAAGCATCACCTTCACAGCCAGCAAGGATCCAACGGGAACGCCAACACCGGGACCACCATGTGCAATAACCCGAACAATCCGACGACCTCGCCGTCTTCGGTGTCGCATCTCCCTTCTGGAGCTTCCACCCATCAAGACTGCTACAAGCACAGTCCCCAACATGGCGGTGAGTCTCGTTTTACGTCTCATTTCTTATTTTAAACGTCTCCCCCGTTCCCCATGACCCGTTACAGCACAGAATTAAAGAGGAAGAACGACTCCAACTTTGATCGATCATCAAAATATTTTGAAATCACTGGGGACCAACTTCACACAGGAAGCAAAAGCACCTAGCGTTTGTCCTGGCCCGATACATAAACCATGGTTATCTCAGGATCGTTTAAGGTGACTTGAAAGTGGAGCCGAAGAAATCTCGCTTATGAAACTTTTTTTCGAACTGGGTGTACCGAATCCTTTCAAAGTTTGTAATATAAATATGGAGGCCATGAAGAAGGTCCTGATACCCATGAAGTTTGAATTTTTTCAATGGAATTTCAGCAGTGTCAGGATCTTCCTTACAGCATCCATTTTCACGATGCGAAGTTTGAATCAATTGGGGACACCCAGTTTTGTGAACGACTGGCCTCTCGGATGCCACGTTCACATCCCCTTAATAAGATTCTAAACGTCCATAAAAAGTCATCTTCATCGTAACTAAAAATCCCGGTCCAACGATTTAAAATTGGATGCTCGGAGATCCAGACGAAGACGATAGGTTCGTGGATCCTGGCCTTCGGTAGGGTCCTTCAGTCCCGACTTCCTCGGTACCTCGGCTGACTCCAGGATCAGGAGATCCCTCGGGACCTGGTGTCAGTGACGCTAAACGTCGAGCGGCCCTCGCTCCCCTCCCTGCCTTGGCGGCCTGGAGGCATCCTCTCTTCCCCTGTCCCGAGGTAATAGTTTCATACCTCGTTCCGGCTGTGCACCCTCTAATTCACGGTAATAACGATATTCAGGCCGGCGTTCCATCTTTCCGATGGGCCCGACATCGGTACCGACCCGGCCTGGTCGCGTAACTCGGGCTTGCCGGCCGAGCCCTCTCGCCACGTCCGAAAGTCCGGCAAACCCGGTCGGTAAAAAAGCCGCTTCTAGGGGATTTTTATCCCGGCCGGTCTCGTCTCGCACCAGCGGTTTCGACCTGATCAAAGTTAAGTAGACGCGCCCCTGCTGCAGCCGAGACTCTTTGAACCTGCGGTTTTCTCTGTACCCCGGCCAGCCACCCACCGGTCCAGCCTCCTGGTCCAGCTCCTCGACTGGGCCTTACACCCTGCCTTGCGATCCGCGGATCGCTGTAATTGGCTCATTGCCCTCCGCGATAACCCTCGAACCGTAATTAGGGTCTCCTGGATGCTTCCAGGATCTGCGGAAATCCTAGGACCCTGCGCCGTCCGGCTACCGGCTGGCTGGGGTTCGCGTTTCTAGTCCGTCTTCTAACTTCTTCAGGGGTTCCGAAGAAGGTCCTTGCCGGCGTTGCTGGACAGCTACTGTCGATTCGACCAAGGGGTTCGTGCCTGGAGTCGTTTCGCTGGGCCCTCCGCGAATCCCGGGGAACTTGGACCGAGGTCTAGGAATGTCCATCCGCCGGCTACCAGTTGAACGCTCGTCCAGTTCGGAGTCTTGCATTAGAGATTGAAATCCACTTTCTATATCAATCGTTTAATGACCGATCGATCGTCTTGATGAGCCTCGGTCTCAAAACGGAGTTAAAACACCTAGGTTATCACAGTCCCATCCAGCTACCAATTGAATGGTCGTCCTGTTTGGAGTATTTGCGTCACGGATAGAAATTTACTTTCTGCATCATTCATTTAATGACTGATCCATCGTCTCGATGAACCTCGGTATCAAAGTGGTTTCAGAGCATCAGCGTTATTCGATGGTCTAACCCTTCGACACCCCTGAAGGTGATTTGAAAGGGGTTTCATTTATGAAACTTTTCTCCTAGGTGTACCCAATCATTTTAATCTTTACACCGTGAACGTGGAGGCTGTATTTGACTTTTTAATAGAAAATTTTTAAAACGCATATAAACGAGTTTTAGGAAAGTGGAAATTTTCATGGGTGTCAGGCCCTTTCTTATGGCCTCCATATTCACGTTATAAAGTTCGGAACGATTCTGTGCTCTCAGCTTGGAGAAGAGTTTCATGACTGATTGACCCTTCGGGTGCACTTTGACGTCCCCTTAACTCCTGCTTCTATAAATCGATCGTCTCTGCCATTTCTTGGTCAGAGGACTCTTTGAAACGAAGTTGTCGTTACGATTGCAAACCTGAAACTTCCGTCCAGATGCAGGTGAAGATCCACCTCCAAACCTCTGTTCGGCACCTCCAAACTCGGCCGGTGATCCCAGGGCGCGCGATCACGCGTTGGCGGGTGCAATTTTCTCCACCCCCTCGATCATCACGGCCAGCCGCGGTCCGACGAGATCATGCACTCACGTACAACTCACGTGCACGTCTGCGTAATACCAGGGATCGATCGATCGCTTCTCGATCGACGGCTGGATCCGTGTTGTTTTTGCCCCGACTCCTCCTTTTCTCTTCGGCTCGCTCCGCTAGTCCTGCTCCGGTTGGACTCTGGATCCTATTCCGCGATCCTGCGACTCAATTCTTCCCTAATTTTCCTACACTCGTGACATTTCCCCTGATGTTCAAACATGACGCCGAAATCCCCTCTCCGGATCATTAGGATCAATTGGATAAAGATGATCGGTCGCAACTGCAACGCTCAAAAGCCTTAATTCGCTTTCGAGAGAGCCATCATCGACCTCGTTCATGCCGACGTGGTTTTAGGATGACCTAAAAAGTGACACACCTAGGGAAAGAAATAAAGGAAGTGAAATTCCTGGGTAAAAGGAGAAGGAAATAAGTGAAGAGGAGGACGTTCGATCGGGGAGAGGAAGAAAACAGGAAAGGGAATAAGAATTCCGGGTATCCAGGAAGCCGGTATCGCGAAATGCAGTTAGGGTGGCGTTCTTAGGAGGGCCGTGGTCCGCGTCCAGGTAGAACGGCCCTGAGGGAGCTGGTAAAAAAGGAAGTGAGCATTATTTCTGTCTCTTATAATATAACCGTTTCTCGTCTCTCGGATCTCATCTCGAGTCGTGATCGGGGTAATGAGGCCCGGAGAGGCCTCGGCCGAGACCAGCACCGGCACTGCCACTGGTACCAACACCGACACCGACACGGACCCCGACACCAACACCAGCGCCAGCCTCGGCACCATCACCAGCACCAAGAAAAGAGGGCCTTTGAGCCCGGTCAGGCCCAGAGGAAGCGCCCGGCGAGAAGGCGGTAGGGGTAAGGACGCTGATTATGGGGTGTCAAACAATCATGCTGATTGTACATTCTGTTCCGACTCCTTCTGTCTGCCTCTTGGTCTACGGCCGTGGCCGGGCTGGAGGACGTGCAACTACTGGGACCTGAAAAGGCATCCGAGGTGCCTAAGAGATACCGAGAGTCTTTACCTGTTTACCAAGACGCGGCTACTGCTCACTGCGCTAACAATTTAACGTCTGGGAAAACGCCGAGGCAGATGCATCTTCCTACGTCCTTCCTCGCGTGGGACCCTCCAGATGCGTGGCGACCGCCGCCATCTTGGTCCCTGGAGCAAAGCCAAGGGAGCGAAGCTAAATCTGCGCTTATCCAGAGGAATCTAATTTAATGTTGTATCCAAGGATAAGTCACTAACAAGTGCATTTAGGAAATGAGGACTGGGAGCAGTTCCGAATTTTCTTGCTTATTTATTTACGTGGGACTCTCCAGATGCGCGGCGACCGTCGCCATCTTGGTCCCTGGAGCAAAGCCAAGGGAGTGAAACTAAACCTACGTCTATCCAGAGGAACCCGATTAAATGGTACATCTAGGGAAGATTCATTTACAAGTGCATGTAAATGTATGAGATTTCGGAGTATTTGTGAATTTTCCTGTCTCGTTATTCGCGTGGGACTCTTCAGATGTGCGGCGACCGCCGCCATCTTGGTCCCTGGAGCGAAGCCAAGGGAGCAAAACCGAACCTACGTTTAGCAAGAGGAATCCAATTTAATGATATATCTCGGGAAAAGTTACTTACAAGTGCATTTAAAAAATGAGGATGGAGAACATTTTCGAATTTTCCTGCTCGTTTACTCACGCGGGACTCAACATATCCACGGAGACCGCCGCCATCTTGGTCTCTAAAGCGAAGCTAAGGGAGTGAAACTAAACCTGCGTTTATCTAGAGGAATCCAAATTAATGGTGCATCTAAAGAAGATTCACTTATACGTGCAAATGAAAAATGAGAATTGAAAGCATTTGGGAAAAATGTACGCGCTCGGTATTAATGGCGGCTTAAAGAGGGATGCGGAATGTGCGTTACGAGACTTTGCCTGTTTACCGAGAGGTACTTACTGCTGGATTAAGGTCCGCGGAAAAAACGACAGAGATGAAAGCTGGATGTCTTTCCCACGTGGGTTCCGAGGGATTCTGGGATGATTGTCCGCCATTTTCCCCGACTCCTAAATTGTCTCTTGCGTTTCTTCAGAACTCTGCTGCGGGTTTGGCGAGCTCGCTTAGAAACTTGGACTCGCAGCAAAGTGCATTCCTCTGAGACAATAAAAAGGAGAAGTCGATATAAATGTTTTAAAGAACGAGAGTAAAAGGAAACATTAACGACGCATTCGCGTGCCGGCATCTCGCGGAGATTTAAACGCGTGTACGGTAATGGAGGTCATTAATATTTGTACGTCCACAAATATTTATAACATTATTCGTAATAATATCAAAGGTGGTAAATAAAATACATTAATTCAATTAAATAAATTGCCTGGCAAGATAAATAATTACGTGATGAGCGATAATACAAAGTACAGTTGCAATCAATATTAACGGAATAAAGTAGTTTAGTAGAAGTTGAATTGACCAGGGAATTGTTACTTCTTTTTTTTTAGGGTAAATTATTGTACGCGTGTTTAAAGTTGGAGACTGGAAAGGACGAGGTGGTAAATTCGAATTATGAAGGGAAGGGTCCGAAGGGTTGCGGAGGATAAGTTAAGGGTCTCGGAAAGAGTCGGCCACGTGCTCGCATCTCTTGGGGGTTTAAACGCATACGTTAATAACTTGGCGATAGGCCGCGATAGGGGCTGCCAGGGG